GTGGCTATTAAAACCAGTCCTGCCTGGGGCCCTGGATTCCCCGGACCTGCATGTGCCCTCTGTGCCCTCCTGGGCCCTCTGGCTGTTGCATAACACAGCAATCAGCCCTGTGCTGACATTAGTGCTGGATATTAGTGCTCTTCTGGGGGATTTAGATAAAACGAGCTCTCTGGGGCTGGAGGTGGGGACTAAATGGCTTTTAATGGCATTAGTGTAAAGGCAAACTTAGTGTGCTCAGGATGAGGGAATGATAGAAAACAGGGTGTTGAGGAGAGCACAAATAACTGAGAATGCTGGGGCTTGGGGTTTGTTCCAGGGTTTGATCAGATCCAGAGTTTAATTGTGTACTGGTCTCCAGTTCAGGGGGTGGGGGCTTTTTTGGGAAGGACCTTGATGATCATGAAGTCCAACCATCAGCCCAGCACTGCCACCATGTTCACCACTGAACCACGTCCTCAAGTGCCATATCCAGATGTTTTTTGAACGCTACCAAGGATGGTGACTCCACCACTGCCCTGGGCAGCCTGTGCCAGTGCTTTACAGCCCTTTGCAGAGTACACAGTAAACCCCAAAATGCTGAATGCAGGGGAGAAGAACTGATGTTGCAGTTGAAAAAGTAACTCCTGTGTTTTACGGGTTCCTTTTATCTCCTCAAGCTTAATGTCAGCTTAATGCAGTCGATGCATATCATTTAGAAATCCAGTTTCCATCCTCTTTCATAATTACACTTCTCAGTGTTTGGTAATGCTCTTTATACCTTATTTAATCTTTTTGTTTTGTCAGATGGCTGTATCATTAAGTCCATAAGAGCAAGACATGAGACCAAACCTTTTGTCATTTGGTTGCACTTTGAAATATTAATTTCTTAACGTATAGTAGTATAATAGGAAGAAAAAAACAAACTGTACTTATGGACAGCAGTAAGAAATTTGTGTTCTATCCAGACATTGCTGTAGGCTCTTGGCAATAGAGTTTTGCTGCTAATGCTTGGGTAATAGCGCTTTCTTGAATAGCTAAACCCCAAAATATAGCAGGACAAAGTGCCCCCCATGTTTGTTTAAGCCTGGTGAAGGTGGTTCCTGGCAGTGGCTGTGGGTTCCCTGCTGGGCCAGGCCCTGCAGAGCAAAGTGCATTTCCACTTTGCTGAAACGCTGCTCAGGGTAACGTTTTAATTCTCAACATTTCCCTTCTGGTGGTGACTGAAGGGTCCTGCACATCCTAAAGGCGTGGTGGGGAAGCCACACAGCTCTGACTGTTGGGAATGAAATCCAATGAATGCCAACCCCTGGAATACTGGGAGAGGCAGTTAAACTGTGAGCACAGTGTAAGTTCTTGTGAGAAGGATGCTGAGCCATTCCCTGGTTATTAAGGCCCTGATCGCGTGTGGGGATAGATTAGAGCCGAGCTGGAAGGTAGCACTGCCTCATTTGGGGCGGATTAGTGCTTTTTGAGCAGTCAGAGCTGCAGCAGCAGTGGGGTCACTCAGCAGTGAGGAGCAGCGTGCCCAGGTGGAGCAAACAGCACCTGCCCCACGGGTGGCATTCCAGGAACAGCCCCACTTCCCAGGGCTCCATGGCCTTCCTCCTGGCTTCAGGGGTCTCCCACGTGCTGGGGAGCGTGGCCACTCCAGAGAAAGTCGAGCTGGCACAGATGGGTTTGTATCTGGTTTGCACTTTGATAGAGAAGCAGCTCCTCCTCAAAAGGAGATGTTTGTGCTGCTGGGAATGATTGTTGTTGCTTGAACTAAAAATTAAACAGTACTGTTTGAATTCATGTCTGGTCAGCTTCAAATGGTTATTTGGGGAGGGTATTTCAATATTATTAAATCCCATTAAACTACAGGATGTCTGTGGGGATGATTTTAGACTGTCAGGTTTGCATAACTCTGGAAAAAGAAGTGACTGTAATTTTCAGATTTTTTCCACCATAAGCTCTAAACATCACAGAATCATGGAATGGTTTGGGTTGGAAGGGACCTTAAAGACCATTCAGTTCCAACCCCCTGCCATGGGCAGGAACACCTTCCATATACAATGCATAATGATATTTTTTTATTTAAACTTCCAGATTAATTTTCTTTGATCTTGTAACATAAACTACATTGTGTTCTAGTTTAATTTAATTCTCAGGCATTGGGCAAAAAATGCACAGCTAGTCCTTGTGTTAGAAAAATACCATCTAATGGGAGCCATGTCTTGCTTCCTCAAATTTTGATATCCGTCTCCATCGAATAGCTGTTTTGTTTACTCTGTATTCCTGGTTTATCTACAGGATTAGATGTTTTTCTGGAACCAGCTTCCCTATTTCTTAGTGAAAGCCTCCCTGAACTGCTCTTCTGGAGCTTTATTCTGCCCTGCCTCTGCTCAGTACCCTCCCCTGATTCAGATGCTAATGTGCGGCGTCTGCCGAGACTGGAATTAGCATTTTGAGAATAGATTTGAAAAAGACCTTTTTTATTTGCGTGCTTATATTTTATAAATAGCCTAAAGGGGAGGATGGGGTGTTTTGTAAATGGTTTGCAGAGCTGAAATCCAGTGGGCCTATGATTGCTGTGGCATTTCCATTACCTCAGTCTGTTCTTTAACGTGGGTTCTTTGTTGTTAACACCCCCACGGCAGGGATGATGCAGTGAACTCTCTTACACATTTACTATTCTTTAAAGTTGGAGTTCTGATGCTATTCCCACGGAATTGGGGAATTGCAAGCAGAAAAGGTGATGGTTCCTTGGGCACTAAACTTAACGTAGGTGGTGTTTGAGAAGTGGAGACTGTTGAGATCCTGGGCAGGAACTGGGTTCCTTCTGCTCTTCTCTATTTGTGCAAAAAAGCGTTTTGAAATCTGTTCCATATAACTTTTTGATTCTGAAGTCTCTCTGAAAGCATGACTGTGAAATGCACCTCTAACAACTACAAATGTGATGTAGAAATGTTTAGGCAATTGATGTGGTGAAGAAGGAACTGGATTGCCTTTTATGATTTTTTTATTTCCCCCATGATTTTGTCGGCTCTAACTGTCTGAGTGTGGCCCATTTTCTACCTTTCTTCCACTAAATGAATGTGGCCTTTCCCTTCTGCCTTTGCTGGCTGTCCTAAACAGCATATTAGTGAAAACAGAGTTTGTTTTTTTTTTTTTCCTCTGACAACTGAACTGATTCTAATAGAGACTTGTTTGAGAATCAGTTGGGTTTGTAAGATTTTGCTAATAACTGTTAGCCTTAGGTGCAAAGAAGCAGATTTTCCGTGTTGAGTAGCTTGTTGCTAAACCTCTTACTGAGCTAAAGCCCTGTTGCAAGTGATCCCTGTTAGTGAAATCCAAAGGTGCCTGTGGTTGGTGTGCCAGGCTGGTGGAGCAGGTCCCGGTTGTGTATCACACACAGGGTACAGGGAGCCTTCATTCTGGGCTGGGGGACAAGTCTGGTTTGCTTGCTGGGAAGGAATCCAAGGCAAACTTGATCTAAACTCAGTTCCAAAGGGACAGGCTGGGTCTGCCAAGGAAAGCTGTGCCTGTAGGTATGGATGTAGGAAGTTTTAGAGACTTAATTTTGTCCATCCCTCGTGGTGTAAAGGTTTGACTTCCTGGTACTTTGTGCATCTTCAGTTAGATAGAAGTTAAAACTGCCACAGCCAACATGTTTGACTCAAACCCCTGTTCAGATCTTGAGGGGCTTGGCTTGGTATCAGCTGTGGTCTGGCATCTATTTCTGGCTTATGTACTTTTCTCTTTAAGCACTTCCAAACTCACCTATTGGGTTTGTGTGGTGGTTCAGGGCATGCCATGTATTTATGAACATTATAATAGACACATTTATTGCGGTCATGTGATGCTTTCAGGAGAGTTTGGTTCTGTCCTGCTCAACCTGAATCCTCTCATTCCTCCTGGAAAGACAACTCTGGAAAAACGCTGCTTCCGGTGGAGTTATTCGATGTGGGGTTTGGCTTTGCTGGCTCCCTGTGTGTGAGGGAGCCAGGACAGGTCATTCCAGTGACAGTGGCTGCTCATTCCTTGCCTGACCAATGTTTAGATGCTGCTCCAGCTGCCTGTGACATGTGTCAGAGGTGTTGGGAGCTGGGAGAATAAATCCCAGCTGTGGCAGAGAGGAGTGGGAGGATGAGTTAGTCTTTGTTCTGATACTGAGGAGCACCGAAGAGAGAAGTGGTGGAGAGAGGAAGAGTGATAAGAAAGGGTGATAAGAAATAAAGACAGACCCAAAGAGTATATTTGGGAGTCAGCCAGAGTGTAAACAAATCACCCAGGAGGTGAATTTGGAGTGATACCAAATGAGGAGAGGCTGAGAATGGATAAAACCAGGAGAAGGTAACTGAAGAGCATGGATATATATACTGAGATAAGAGGAAATGTTATCTTGATCCTAGTGTTTGGAAGGCTGTAGGAGGGAAGATGTGAGGTGAAATGGAAGTGATGGGTTTATTTTAGTCAAAACAGAAAAACAAAGCCTTACCCTCCGGATGGGATGGGTGGATAAAAGGGAGTCATCACAGCTTGTGCTTGAAGTCTGGTAGCAGGACGGGGAGGGTGTGAATGTGTGTGGGGAGGAGGGATTGTCTGGGTATAATTCTGTGAGCAGCTCTGCCAACATCAAAACCACGATATAGAGCCCAAAGAAATGAGGAGTTTGAATGATGATCTCACCAGTCCAAATTCATGGAGTGCTGGGGTTTAAAACTGCAGTACTGTGTACAGTAATATAAAAAAATTTAAATGAGATAAGCATGAAGCAACTATAAAATATTTTCCTCAACATACAGTAAAGTTTTCCTTGCTTCCTTTGTTGTGAAGGTGTTCTGACAGATGAGTTATTCCATTTTCCTGTGTGGAGAAGTTAGTGAAGAAGGAATTGTATGTCTCACAGCACTGACCAGTTTGTCATTAATGGTGCAAGTCAAAAATGTTGTGTGCTTGGCAGATGTGTAGGAAGTAAGTCGTGTTATCAGTGGAATTAGATGGCCATTCAGCTGTCTTTGTTCTGCTCTGCTTCACAGTTGAAAGATGCATGAGTGTCATGCAGTCTGGGACTCAGATGGTTAAGCTGAAGAGTGGAACCAAAGGGCTGGTCCGGCTCTTCTACCTGGACGAGCACAGGACCTGCATCCGATGGAGACCCTCCAGGAAAAGCGAGAAGGCAAAAAGTAAACTTCTCTTATTTCTGTTGATTCCTGGGGCAGTTCGGAATAGAATGTGAATTACAGAGGGATAATTAAATAAATTATTTTTGTTGCTGCTTTTAAATGTGATGTTAATAGTTACATAAAAGTCTTCAAGAGTGTGGGCAGAGTTTAGCCACCTGAAAGCTGAGGATTAAGGAAGGCCAGTGTAGTTCAGTCAGATGTGAGCATTTTCCAGAGCTTTGTATGAGTTTTGAACAAAGAGGGCCTCGATAATTATACTGAACTCTTTTCAATGTATACATCACAAATTTAAATAAACCTGGAGGAGTTTAGGTTGAGGTTTGTTAATCCTAACTGTGATCCTTTTCTTCCGGCATTATTACATCTTGAAGTGACTGTAGCATTATTTCTCATTGAAGCTGTTCCTGCTGCACTGTCTTAAATTGGAAATGCAAATCAGTGGTTTATTGAATACAATAAAGACTAGAATTCATCAGAACTGTCAGGGAACCTTGAGATTAAAACCAAGCAGTTGGGAAGGCTCCAGACAGTGGCAGTTGGTGTTTGTGGGCCAGTGGGTGTTGTTGAAGAGCCTTTGGGTGCCGTGGCATCGGGAGCCGCCGTGGCTATCCCGGATTCCTGCTGTGGGGAGCAGGGCTGTGATGGGAGCAGTCCCTTTGGAGCCATGCAGGGGTTCTCTGATGGATGGGAGGCCCTTGGTACCTGTCTCCTCATGCTCCCCTTTCTGCCGCCTCAGCCCTGTGGTGTCGCAGGCAGGGCTCAGAGCTGTGCTGGGACTGGGCGCAGCCGAAGCAAGGAAAACCTTCCAGTCAGAGAGGGCTTTTGGATGTGAAGATGTAATATTAATAAAGGGTAGTGACTCCTAGCCTGAATAATTCAGAACTGTTCAAATCAGAAGCAGGTTGGCTGCCCTCTGAGCACGTCAATCTTTGTTTCCCCTTCTCCCCACAGTTGTCATCGACTCCATTTACAAAGTCACCGAGGGCCGGCAGTCGGAAATCTTCCACCGCCACGCCGAGGGCAGCTTTGACCCCAGTTGCTGCTTCACCATTTACCACGGCAACCACCTGGAGTCCCTGGACCTGATCACCTCCAACCCCGAGGAGGCTCGCACCTGGATCACGGGGCTCAAGTATTTGATGGCCGGGATAAGCGACGAGGACTCGCTCGCCAAGCGCCAGAGGACACACGACCAGTATCCTTTGATAGCCGGGGCTCCAGCTCCTCATTCCCTATTCCTGGTGTGGTTCTTAGTGACTCCAGTGTAGGGTGTCCTTTCACCTCCTATTAGGTGACCAAAACCCTCCCATTGATCGCAGTGGAAACTTGAGTAACGGGTTTGACACGGACACTTGTATGTGAGATAAAACATGGGCTGAAGTCAGGGGATAGTCTTGCGTTTTCTTAATGAAATTCTTCTTGAAGGGTCAAACCAGTTATTTCTAGTTATCTCAATACTTACTGACCCCAGGATGATTTCAGCATTTCTGTCATCTTCTGTTTGCTCAGCTGTGCTTTTATTCTTCTGCTGCAACTTGCAAGGTCCCTTAGAAGACGCTGGTTTGAGGACAGTACTAGCTGAAATCTGGTACAGGTGAAACCCCGACGTTCTGGGATTCTTTCAGTAAACTGACCAGTAACTCCTGGCCATCTCCATTTCCCTTGGTGTAAGGCAGATATCTGTGGTCTTCTCCACTGCATTGACTGTCAGGAGCACAAATCTTGAAAGAACCTTGAATATTTGTTGTAGCCCAGTAATGCAAATGAACTTCATGTCCACTGAGTATTTTCTTGGTGTGCTCTCTTTCACAACAGTGCTGTCTACTGTTATACACAAAGAACCCCCTAACCAAAAATCCCCAAACCAAACTGTCTTAATTAAAATTGCAACCTGTCTATTCTTCTGCCTCATGAAAATCTCCAGTGGTCACTTGTTGTCTCCTTCTGGAGAATATATACACCGTGGGCATTTTTAATTTATGTTTTCAATGCTAATTCGGATCCACAGTAGGCACAGATCCATTGGGGTTACATTGCATGCTCTGTTGCACATGTCCTCAGATTGCTATATTTAACCACCACTTTCCCAAGCTGCTCATATTTGCTGTATCTTCTCTCCTGGTGAAACATCACTGTGAGTCCTGTTTGCTTTATCAAATGTGGCAGCTGGGAGACTGCTCACAAATGACCCTGTACCAGTTCCAGCCAGTGTAAGGGCTTAGCAAGAGGTGCTGAGGGATCTGTGTGCAAGGAGGGGGTGAAAGGGGCTGGTTGGGCAGTGAAGTTCAAGTAGGATGAAGGGAGAGGTGGAAGAAGATATCAGAGCAAGCCCAGCAACATTTGAGAACTTCAGAGTACATTCTCAGAGGAGAAACTAGTAGCAGAAATGGGAGTGCAAAGGGGCTGCTGTTGTGAACTGAGATGTAAATAATTGACATAAACCAACTCTGCTTTTAAACATTTGACTGAAAATGTAGCAAGGGCAGGGAGGGGGGAAAAGGGTTATTCCCCAGCCCAGAGCTGGGGCAGGACCGTGTTCTCCTGAGCTGGAGTCCTGGCCCTGCCCTGCCCAGTGCTCTGCCTCCCTTCTCCGTGAGGAGCTGTCCTTGACACGTCTGTAGCTGGGTCAAGCAGACCTTTGAGGAGGCCGACAAGAACGGGGACGGGCTGCTGAACATCGAGGAGATCCACCAGCTGATGCACAAGCTCAACGTCAACCTGCCCCGCAGGAAGGTCCGGCAGATGTTCCAGGTCAGTGCCTGTGGGAAGGTTGTGCCACTTTTGGTCTATTCCTGGGCAGATCCAGAGCAGGGTCTGCAGGTTGGGACTTAAAACTCTGTCCTTTCCAGCACCTCACAGGCTTTTGCCAAGTCTTACCTTTTTGTAGACAAAGGTGCATCGGAACATTGTTTAAGTGACATGAACCACACAGAAGACAATTCATCAATATTAGTCTTTCAGCTGCATCATTGTTTCATCTCTGTGGATGAATTGTTCTGTGCTGGCATTGATGGACGATGGAGTTACTCTGTTGCTATTGAAATCTTTTTTCATTTCCTTTATGGAAAATTATTTAATATAAACTGGCATTATGAAAGTAATTAGGGGGTTTTTTTTAACAACTTCCTCATACTTAGCCAGAATCAATTTTTTACTTCTGTTCTCTGGAAACAGTTGCCAATTTTCACCAGCCCTTTTGTTTACTGTAGGAAAGGAAAGATAAACCAAGGACATAAAGGAGAGCAAAAGGAAGTTTTGTTAAGTCTTCCAAACCAGTACCAGCCAAAAGCTGGTTCGCTGTAAAATGTAAAGAATTTTCCATGGTCAAAAATGCTTTGTTTGTCTGGCATAAAATCCACACTAGAGATACATCTTTGGAGCATTGAGTTACTCCCCAAAGAGCTGAAGTGTGGAAACTGGTGGGGTTGTGTTGTGGAGATAAATTCAGGTAGTACTTGTTTTCACAAATTATAAATGTCATCTAAGATATGTAGTAGATAAAAATGATTTAAAATCCCATTCAGCACCAGATAGCTGGGAATTATTTTCTTCACAGCTGACTTGCTGCGATGGCAGTTTGTGGTTTGGATGACAGTGGCACTAATGAGGTGTAATGAAAGGCAGCAGAGGCAGAGTTGTGAAGCCAAGTCCTGAGAGGAAAAAAAAGTGGTTCTGTCTGCACTTCCAAAGTGTGCAGGGATGAAGTAGGGCACTGTTCCTGAGAAGTGGTGGCAGGATGAGGTGCTCTCCAGCTGGAGAGCTTGTATTTGTATCACTGTAGGGACAAGCCAACGGGTTCAGAGCCCAGGGAGTGTTAGAAGGGATGCACAGAAAGGGTTCCGACCTCAGTAGGGGGAGAACACTGTTAACAGTACCTGACTTGGGAATGGCAAGGGGGTTGTAACTGCAGAGGAACCCCCAGTATACAGCTCTGAACAAAGGACATGATTCAGAGGAACAACAGGACTTTTCATATTTCAGTTTGTCTCCGTTATCTGCCACAGCCCAAAACTTACCCAAGTTGTAGCTTCCCTGAAGTTCTTTTTTCATGGAGACCTACTTAGTGCTTGCCTAGAATATATTCTTTGTTTTGAAAATCCAAAGCAATCCTCTTAGGCAGATGTTCACAGGAAAAAGCTTGTATTAGTGTGTGTTAAGTACTGTTTTCTTCCTACCTCTGAGGAGAGACAAAAAATCAAGACTGGAGATGTTTGGTGTATGTTTTGGCGTGGAGTCTTATTGCTGCTGCAGACTTGTCCTCTCTGCAGAGTGCCGAGGGGCTGAAAGTGTTGCAGATTAAATTGATGTGTATTTAAAACTGTGATATTGTCCTGAATGTTTTAAAATGTCACTGTTGTTGGGGAATCCACGGGGTGACATTATTATGCTCCTTGCTAGGTTTTAATCCAGGATAACTGCAGGGCATACAGGAGGGCAGCAGATCAGAGTAAAACCCAGGGTGAGCCTCTTTACAGAGGAAATGAACTCAAAACTAAAGAGGGAAATTAGAGTTTCATAGGGAATCTGTGGCTTTAGTGTAACAACTGTTTTCACCAAAAATCCAATAGATGATGATTTAATTTTGCAGTTGTTTTACCGTTAGGATTTGTGTCTGAACGGATCCTCGCAGACTGGAATTTATTACATTTCTGTTGGTGTACACAAGTCCTGTTCTGTTTTATTCCCCAAATTCCCTTGTGTTTGCCATGCTTACCTGAGTGTCTGTACCCCTTAGGAAGCAGACACAGATGAGAACCAAGGAACCCTAAACTTTGAAGAATTTTCAGTGTTTTACAAGATGATGTCCCTACGTCGGGATCTCTACTTGCTGCTCCTAAGCTACAGTGACAAGAAGGATCATCTCACTGCTGAGGAACTGGCTCAGTTTCTGAAGGTGGAACAAAAGGTATGGGAATACTTTACATTCATTTATTTGTACATATAAGTACATTCAGGTATAGGGGAAGAGTGTTATGGAAAGGTTTAGCTTGAGGCAGAGCATAAAGCAGAGATGTGACAGAAAAAAAAATCTGAAGTCTTTATTGTTTTTTAAAATACTCGTAGAAGGAGTTTGAACTTCTTTGGACAGTTTTTGCAGTGCCCTGGATAGTGGTTTGGAGGGCACTCAGGGGCCTGGAGCAGGAAGAAGAACATGTGAGAGAGGCAGAGGAGCTGACTTTGGGGTGCACAAGGACATTATGAAAGTGCTGATGCAGCAGCAAAGCCAGGTTGACTGTCAGGTCTGGCATTCTGCATCCTCTGCCTGCCCCTCCTCAGGCACACGGAGTGGGCAGGGTTGTCTGCTGGAACTGCTTTGCTCAGCATTACTCCAAAACCAAACTGAGGTCTCATAGATGTACCTCTTGGCTGTGTAGTTTAGAAGCACCTTGCCCTGCCTTTGCCTCTCCCACTCCCCAGCATGAACAGCATGAGGGAGACCCACCCTTTAATGTCCCCAGTGCCAACCACGTCCTCGGGTAGGGCAGCATTGCCTCCACAAGCTGATAATGCTTCCGATCATAATGCAGCTCCCAGTGCCTTCAACCAAACAGCATTTTGGTTTTGCTCCTGTTTGGCTGCTTGGAAATCTGTGGACAGTCTGTCCTGCTCCATCTGCCACTCATTTGGCAAGACTTTTAAATATTCTGCAGCCTGAGGATAGAACAAAAGCGGGTTGGGTTTTTTGTTAGCTTGCTAAACTGGCTTCTTTTTTTAGGAGAACTCCTGTTGCCTTCACCCCAGGGCTTGTGAAACAGATTATTTCCACTTAGGTGCAGTTAAATTCAGCTCCTTGCTACTGAAATTGCAATTATATGGCTTCAAATGTCAGAGGAGCAGAGAGCAGGCTGGTTTTCTGGGGTGACTTCTGCTCCTGCAGTTCTCTTAGTGGCTGTGAGGGAGGAACATCCCTGGATGTCCAGTTGCAGCAACATACCTGAGTGTTGTCCCTTTGGGAGTGTCCTTCATTACTTTACCTGTGTCCTTGTCAGAGCTGGACCTCCCAGAAGCTGGTGTCCTGCTCCATGACACACTGCTTCCCAAACAGGATCTCCAGGCTCTTCTCATGACACAGCCTGTCTCGTTGCTGACTTTGAGGAGTGGGGCTCAGGTGAAATAGGCTTTGCAAAGACCCTCTTCCCTGATAAAGGGCAGCTTTGCAGTTTCTTGCCCCCTGGACCTGCCTCCTGGAGTGAATGACCCCGCTGTGCCCTGGTCCTGGGAGCCCTGAGTGGTGCTGCCCCATGTCCGGTTGCTGTCTGTCCTTCCCTCCTTTCTGCTGCAGCCAGATCACAGCAAGTGCTTTTATTTCAGTCACAGCAGGGGCCTCTCTGACTCCTGTGCTGACAGGTTTTTGCCAGTAAAAGGCTGTTTCAGTGTTCCAGACCTGCCGTGTTTGGCTCTGGTTGTGTGAGCGGGAGGCTCCCTGGGCCCTCTCCCACCTGCTGCCCTGCCACGGATGAGTTGCTTTGCAGTCCAGTTTTCCTGTGGCCTGAGACAAAGGACAGCCCGCTGAGCTGTGGCCCAGCAGCCTTGGCTGGGCTCCAGGGCAATGCTGCAGGTTGGGTGATGTCCCTGGAGTGCTCTGAGTGACAGGGACCACATGGAAATGTCAGTCCCACTGCAGCACCTTGGTACCAAACCACTTCCCTCAGTGGTTTAAAGGGCTGCTGTTTTATGCAGCTCAAAGGAGGCTGGTGGCAAAAATTAATGCCCCTGCTCCTTTTAATTGAACTGCAGAGGAAGTAGTTTTATAACAATTACACCCTCAGAACATGCACATGTAATTATGCAAAGCTCAGTTATTTGGTATGAACCAGTGCCTTTGAGTTAAGCCTGCTTGAGTAAGTTTACTCCTGCACTAATTGTACAGTGTCACAGGAACAACCAGGGATTGGGGAATAGTGAAAATGTGACAACAAGTGGTAGGAAGTGGGGATTAAGAACACTTAATGTTTTGGAACAACTCTACTTGCTGTCTTGGAAGAAGTTTTAAAAGGATATAATGGGACAGTGTGTGCCAGGGAATGTTTTCTGTGTTTGGCTGGGAGCTGGAAGACCAGTCAAACTACACCTAGATTTCCATACAGCTGAATACTGGGAATACTGAGCTCCAGGAAATAGTGGAAAGCACAAAATCATCAAAGGCTACAGAGCAGAGTAAATGCAATGGGTTTGACCATCTGGAAGAGAAGCCCATTAATAAGAGAACAGTTCACAGAGGGACTATTCCTGGATTTAAACAGTAAATGCTGGGTAATTTTCATGGTGACTACCCCCATTCCTGCCCTTGCCTGGAGCAGTGATGTTAACAGAGGGCACTGCGTGTTCCTGTGCTCCCAGCCTGCTCCACAGGTCAGGGATCTGAGCTGGTTTGGCAGAGGATGCAGAGCACAAACAGGAAACAGAGCAGTGGTACAGATACCCTGCCAAAGGTTGGAGTGCCAGTGTTGTCTGCCTGGGATTTGGTAGTGGAGGAACTGAAACACACCCAAGCAAGGGGGATGAGAAGGGATGAGATGAGTGATGGAAGATGCTTCTTCCCTTTAATTTTAAAGGAAATATGAGTGTCAACTTATAAGTGCCCCACAAGTCAGATAGGACCTCACTGTGGAACTTCAGCTGTGGGCTGGTTGAAGCTGTTGACAAAACTTGTGTTTGTTTCAGAAGAGCTGCTGTTTTTCATTTCAGAATTTAATTATTTCTCTCCTAGCCTATGTATTATAGTGAACTCTCTTGGAAGTAATGAAATCACAGGAGTGGAAAATACATGAAAATGTAATCAAACCCTGCCAAATCTTTTTGCATGTCTAAGAAGATTATATTAAAGAATAAAACTTCATAGTTCTCGTTGCAGCAGTATTACCAGTACAGCTATTAAGGATGCCAAATAGCTAATTTTCATCTTTAAAATAAAATGGCACAGGTTTTGAGGGGTGGCTACCTTCCATTCCTATTTTTCTCCTCCAAGTTAAGAGGCAGGAGGCTTGTGCAGCACTGACAAAAATAAAAACTTCAAGTCCTTTTCCAGTAGTATTATTAACTGGCCTATTCACTGGACTCAGTGTTTGATCGTAAGGTTTTTCAACTGGACCCAGAAGTCTAAAGCAGAATTTCACATGCTGGTGACATGGTATTAAAAATAAATGCACTCACACTGTTGTTTTTGTGCAGATGAATAATGTGACACCAGAATATTGTCTGGACATCATACAGAAGTTTGAAGTGTCAGAAGAAAACAAGAAGCAAAATGTTCTTGGGATTGAAGGTAAAGTGTTGATTTCAGAATGAGTTTTGCCTTGATATACTGCAGTGCAATAGAAGTGCTTTAGTGGTGTTTTGGTGCAGCTCCTAATGTTTGACTGGGACAGAACATCCCATAGATCAAAGTCAGGAGCGTGGGTGGGTTTTTGTGAGCCATGGGGGAGATGTGAGTAGGTGGGGTGAAGCAGCAGCTCATGTTCTCCAACCATCCATCACAGCCATCCTGCAGCAATGGGTGGGTGCCTGAGGCTGTGTGGGTTTATTGCTCACTGTGTGTGTAAAACACAAGCCATCCCATACCCTGCAGTTTATCTGCAGCCTGCTCCAGTGACAGCCCAGTGTTCATTCTGCCCTGTCCCTGTAGTCTGTGCTCCTGCACAATCCACTGATATATGCTTATATGAAATAAAATATGGAAAATTGCACTTTCATTGGGTTTTAATGCCTTACTCACATTGTTTGTGAAAGCAATTATAAATGGTATTATTCAGAATCCAGCTTGGTATCAAATCAAACTCAGAGTTGAGATGAAATAGATGAAATGCCATGGTGTGTTCCTTTGCCCAGAAGGGAACTTTCATGGAGCAGCATAATGTACATGGTGATTTGGGGTGGGGAGAAGTGAAGTAGGAATCTTCTTCCCATGGTATTTAAGTCCTGAGTATGGCCCCCCTTCAACAAGCTCTTGATGTGACCCGGGGCACTGCACTTAAACTGAAATAAGGAAAGTAAAATGAACAAGCTGTGACACTTAGAAAATATTTCTGCAAGCATTCCTGTTCCTCTTAACCTTGCTGCTGCTGCTTTTATCTCTGAGTTGCTTTTGGGGTTGGCATTGTTTGCACTGTCCTTTGGAAATATTTTACATTTCTTGTTCTTAAAGGAGATATTTTTAAAACATTTTCTGTTCAATGCTGCTCTGATTTACAAGTATAAACCAGGTACCCTCTTCTCAGATAAATTAGAGTGAAGATGACTGGATTAGTGAACTGGCTGTGGTGGCCTCACAGTTCTCCCTTGGGTGGCTGCTGCCCTGTCTCCTCTCCATCTCAGTCAGGGCAGGGCTTTTTCACAGCACGGGAGCGTCAACAAGAAACTCAGGGAGGGAAAAAAGCATTTGCTTCCAAGTTGGGACATCAGATTGGCTCCCATTTCTGCCCTGGGCCCCGTACCCAGTGTCAGATCCCTGGCTTTGGGGGCAGTGTGTTCCCTGGCCGTGTCCCGGCCGCGTTTGCCAGTCCCACGTGTGGCACCCGCAGCAGAGCCCTTCCTCTCCTTCCAGGTTTCACCAACTTCATGCGCAGCCCCGCCTGCGACGTGTTCAACCCCCTGCACTGCCAGGTGCACCAGGACATGGAGCAGCCCCTCTGCAACTACTTCATCGCCTCATCCCACAACACCTACCTGAGCGGGGACCAGCTGCTCTCCCAGTCCAGGGTGGACATGTACGCGCGCGTGCTGCAGGGCGGCTGCCGCTGCGTCGAGGGTGCGTCCGGGGCTGGGCACCTCTGTGCTGGGGCTGCTGGGATGGGGTGGGATGGTACCTCTGTGCTGGGGCTGCTGGGATGGGGTGGGATGGGCACCTCTGTGCTGGGGCTGCTGGGATGGGGTGGGATGGGCACCTCTGTGCTGGGGCTGCTGGGATGGGGTGGGATGGGGATTTCTGTAGGGGGACTGGCTGGTTCTGAGGAGTGGGACCAGCATTTCTTTAGTGGAACAGGCTGGTTCTGAGGGGTGGGACAGGGATTTCTCTGATGGAACTGGCTGGTTCTGAGGGGTGGGACAGGGATTTCTCTGATGGAACTGGCTGGTTCTGAGGGGTGGGACGGGGATTTCTCTGATGGAACTGGCTGGTTCTGAGGCTCGATGGGGATTTCTTTAGTGAACTGGCTGGTTCTGAAGGGTGGGATGGGTATTTCCATGAAGCACAAAGGCAGTGGCAAACTCAAAGCTTTAGGGCTTCACTGTCTGATTCCCTTCAGCAGCAAACTCCTGTTTTTGAGCAGTCTAAACTGAATTTTTTTATGGGGAAGGACCATCTCAGACAAATATCATAAGCACCATAGAATCACAGACTGGTTTGGGTTGGAAGGGACCTTAAAGATCATCCAGTTCCAGCCCCCTGCCATGGAGGAATGTGGAGATCACGTTGGATTCCAAAGTTCTGCATGATTTAAATAATAACAAAACATTAGTACTTTTCCAGATCCTGGGTGGAATGAAGTCTTTTGATAAATTTAAGCTCAGTATTAATTTTCTCTTACTATTAGTATTGCAAAACTCATCTCTGGAAAAGAAATTATTAATCTGAATTTAAAAATCCATTAGAAAAAGTGAACCTGAGAAAATTGAGTGATTCCCCTCTGCAGGACAGTTCACTAGAACACACAGCTGTGTGTTATTTTGCTTGACCTCAAAGCTGTTGTAGCTACCTCACAGCCTAGGGAACAACTGCCTGTAGAGGTAACAGCAGTAATGAATTGGGTGTAAATCCAGGGTACAGTAATTCCTTAGGAAAAGTATCCTTGTGCTGGTCCATTCTACATGGGATGGACTTGATGCTGCTCTTCATATAATCAGTGGTAAAACTACAAGTTAAATTGGGAGTAGGAAAAGATAAATTGTTTTTAAATAGCTTGCCTTCAGAAGCAGAATCTGCTTTCCCAAGGTAGCTGTGAATGTTATTTGACCTATTACACCTTTGTAATTTTATATATGAGAAAAAAAACTCGGTATAAGGGGAAAAACAGTTCTAGGTTGCAAGGATCTCATTTGATTTAAGAGAAGACTGTCTTGTTAGTCTTGGCTCAATTGGCAGGTCAGAAGAGATGGAATGAGCCTTGTTGACACCTGCGTGGTTGAGTAGTGTGAGAGCAGCAGGAGTGTCCAGGATCGTGGGCATCTCTTACTGTATGGCTTTTTTTTGCCTTGCTAGTGGATTGCTGGGATGGTCCTGATGGGGAGCCAGTGGTGCACCATGGCTACACTCTGACTTCCAAAATCCTGTTCCGGGACGTGGCCGAAACCATCAACAAATACGCCTTTGTCAAGAATGAGTAAGTGCAGAGCCAGGGCTGAGCTGCACCTGCTTTCTGTGGTTCATCCTGTGTTGGAACCAACAGCCAGCACCAGGCAGGGCATGTGTTCCTTTAAGCACAGGAAGGCTGGTTCTGTTCTCGTTTATTGTTCAACTGCACAAGCTCTTCCCATCAACGGAGGGAGAAAGTTCTGCCCAAATTAGACCTTTTGTGCACTGTAAACTCAGGTTGTGAACAGTCTGACACTTGAATATCTTTCAACTGAACTTCCCACTCGTATCCACAGCGAAATTCTCCTTCAAAATCAATACTGTGATGTTCTCTACCTACAGAAAGTACTTTATTTCAGCAGGAAAATTGGAAAGCTGTCACATGTGTGGTGTGAGGAAATGCTGAGATGTGGGATAGTGTTCTGAGCCTGTTTCATTTGCCATGGTGCTATGTAACAGCTTATTATGGACTTTAATCATATAAATATACAGTCTGAAATCATGAGTGGGGGTAGAGGATTCTGAGGAGTTTAGAGAGAATAAAGGGAAAATGCCTCTTTTTCTTTGTTAAAACAAAAAAAAGGGAAATGTGACCCAATGATGGGGTTGTGGGGGAAAAACAAACCAACCAACCATGCCCCAAAGTGTGACATTACTGATGAGAAATAGGAGGTGGTAATTTGAAAAGTGAAGGAGGTGGTTCTTCATTTTTTATGGAGTTGGCATGTGGGGTTCCTTGCCAAAGTTTGTGGGGCTGCCAAGAGTTTAGAACACAATGGGGCAAATCTGTGGGAGAAATAGGCTGTTCCATCCATAGCTGGTGTGGTGAGTGTGCAGGTGTTCTCTCTCCACACACAGTTCTGACAGTGCCTGGGGTGTTGTTCCCAGGTTTCCAGTGATCCTGTCCATTGAAAACCACTGCAGTATTCAACAGCAAAAGAAGATCGCTCAGTACTTGAAGGAGATATTTGGTGACAAACTGGACTTGTCATCTGTGAGCACTGGAGACCCCAGACAGCTTCCCAGCCCTCAGAGTCTGAGAGGGAAAATCCTGGTGAAGGTAACTTGCTGCTGGCAGCATGTTCAGAATGCAACAAAAATCAGAGTGTGATATTTATTGTAGATTTTGGGTTTGCAGAACCAGTTCATATCCCTTTAGTATCTGAACAGTATCCTGCAGTCCTCCCTTGGACAGAGTATTTTGGGGTAATATAAAAATGCAAATGTCTTGCCTTTCCCCTCGCCCTGCCCTGAGCAGTAGTTCATGAAATGAGCCTGTTTTCAGGGCTCCTCAGCTGTGTTTGTGGCAGAAGAGCCCTTTGGAAGGAGCTGGAGGAGGCCCTGGAGCACTGGAGTTGGTGCTGTGGGGAGGATCAGTCCTTTGAGCCTCTCACTATAAATGGATTTGCTCTCAAAGGAATTTCAAAGACCAAGATGGGAAGAGTAAGAAAGAAGCTCAAGGCAGACTTTGGAGAGGATGATTAATAGACTTGTGGCTTATTAGATTGTCTAGTTTACTTTGGCACATGGGGGCAATTACTCTGCTGTGAGCTCTCAAGATACTATTCTTCCCCCTCTCTGCTCAGTGTCAGTCTGGCCCCAGAGATTCACAATTCCAATTTGGGCTTAGTTTGACCATATTTCAGTGTGTAGTACTGAGCTGACCCTGAACTGGAAATCCTTGGAGTGCTGAGCTGTGACTCTGAATGTCACTGCCTCGGTTTGCTGGGGTAACTCTGGTTAATGAACTGTGCAAGCAGGGAGGGCTGGTGTTCCAGGGATCCAGGTGAAGTGGTGTGGAATGTCAGTCATGCTACAAACCCAGCAAACCTGGCCTGAAATACCACGTCAGTGCACCAAAGGCAGGACAGTTTTGGTGCTCTGCTGTTCTTACCTGAACTTCTGAGCTGGTTTTCCAGGCCCATTTGGGATTGTAGTTTCAGTGGGATCCTTCAGCTCTCTGTGCTGAAACCCTGTGGGTCAGTACAGACTGGAGGGGAGCTGAGCTGTTTTCAGAATGAGAAATTCTGTTTCAAGCATCACAGTATCCTTGCACAAAACTCTGCCTCCTATGTCCTGCTCAATTTAAGGAGCCTTATTGGAAAAGATAAAATGAGATTTAGGAATCAGTATCTTGTTGAGAAGCAAGCCAATTTCTCATCTTTTTGCTATTATTTTTGTTCTTTTTATACATTTTCCTTTGAAAGGCAGTATTGATTCATTAGCCAAACAATTTCAAGCAGTGGTGTAATTTTCATCTTGCTAGTGTATATAAAGAGTGATTCTAATAACAGTTCCAGTAACAAACTCTTCCAGAAATACTTAAAATATTGGCTGTGATAATCTGGGTCCTTGAACCAGTTTGCATGAGACTCTGAGAATGATTTCTAAATGCTGGTCTCAATTTACATAAGAAATAGTTGAGGAATGGGCAGTTTTGGTCTTTGCACTAAATACCACTGACCACAGGTGCATTTACTGTGCATGGTTTTGCCTCGTTTCAGGGGAAGAAGTTGCCCTGCAGCCTGGGAGCAGACGCTGAGGAAGGAGAGGTTTCAGAAGAGGACAGTGCTGATGAAATCGAGGATGACTGCAAGTTAAAGGCCTGCTATGTATGTGCACACAGTCAGTGCCCAGCTCTGCATTTCCTTCATGCACTGTCCCTGTCCTACTTCCAGTCCTCAGCAGATTAGAGTCTTGGGTTTGATTCCTAGGTCAGGTTCATGCTGTTCTATGGGATCCATTTTTAAGTGCCTTATGTAAGAGAATGGTTTGAGTCTGTATAGTCTGAGTGTTGTTAACAGGAATTCCTTCCTTACCTTATTGTTTGGAGCAGGAACCTAATGATTAGTTTGCCTGATATGTTGAAGGAAGTGTGTAAGTGCATTACCTGAGAATTCCTGCTCTTCTGAAAGAGAAGGTCAGGCTTGTGAAACTTGTGAAACCAAGAGTGACTCAGGGCCGGGTCCCGGGGTGGTCTGGGGGGGACTGTACTTTGGGGGGCAGTGTGAGCTGTGTCAGGAGGGCTGGAGAGGAAAGGAGAAGGGAAATGGCACTAAAAGCCACCAGCAGAAAAGGCAGGGTTATGCAGGAAGCCTTTTCTTGCACAGAGAGAGGAAGTGTTGGGAGCACCATGAGACTGAAGCGCGTGTGACGCTCCCTCGAGCTGTCCCACTGTGAGGGGCAGAACCATCCACTTTAACTGGGTTCCTTGGATGCCTTTCAGAGTAATGGTGCAACTGAGCACCAGGTGGAATCTTTCATAAGGACAAAACTGGAATCTCTGTTAAAAGAATCCCAAATCAGGGACAAGGAAGATCCCGACAGCTTCACTGTGAGGGCCCTGCTGAAGGCGACGCACCAGAGTCTCAACGTTAACCTGAAGCAGGTACGTGGGGCTCCCCTTCACCTCCTCTGCTCAACGTTAGACAGTGCAATGTGTTGCACACTATTGCAGATGAGAAAGCTGGAAACTTAGGAAAGCTTCTGAGAGCTGGTTTGATCCAAAATGAAATGTTGGAACTATTTCAGGAAAATATCTAAGGAGAGAATTTATCTGGTTCAATGTGGAGAGTATGTTGGTTCAGTGTGTTCTAATCTGGTTTATTCCTTGCAAAACTTGGAAGACACTAATTCAGTAAGTACTGATATTGCAGGTGTGTGTCAAGCAGTTTGGTTTGTACCTGGGTTATTGGGGAAAGATCCCTTTTCTGTCACCTTAGTCCTGTCACGATAGGCCACAGTGACTGCAAGCACTGCTGCCTGTAACACTGGTGGCTGTTTTCTACAGCACTAAACCACAGGATTGTGCTTTTCCTGCCCTGAGCAAGGTTCTGGTTTTTTATAACTGATTTTTCAGAGTGCTCTACATAAGAATGGTACATTTCTTTGCACTTTTGACATCCAACTAGTCTTGTAAAACAGTAAAATGCATCAGAATTTTGAGTATATCAAGAGTTACTACCTTGAGTCCGTGGTGACCACACTTTCACCTTACCCATCACTGGATGCAAATCCCAGTGATGTTAATGCAGAGTTTTCTGGGGAGATGTGCCTGCTCTGACCAGTGGAGTCGTAAAGGTCGAGTACACGTAACTCTGCTTTTTCCACTCTGGGGCCTTAAGTATTTCCTGCCAATCTCTCTCCAAAGCTGGACCTGTGAGACTCCCCTGAAGCCAGGCTTGACTACAGAAAACATCCTTGGCTTGTGCTGCTGCTTGAGGCACTGGGGAAGGTTGGGTTGTGGTGAGAGGCAAAGGACGAGGCATCTGACCTGGCAGGAGGGCTGTTCTCAGACTGGCTCTGCAGTGACACCAGTCAGTTTGCTGGTTCCCTCTGGCCTTGAGAGGTCAGAAAAGTGGGATTTCAGAGAGCAGGCTCCTCACATTAGTGAATACGATCAGTTATGAGCCATTTTAGTATTATTTTGTGTTAAAATAATTACATTTGACATGCTCTCTGGGAACTGCTTGGCCCCTAGAGAGCATTTGAGGGAGTTTTGGTTAAAGAATGCAAATTTGCATCAGGTGTTGGATATGATACCTGAGATTGCCCATTAATGTCATTGATGTGACCAGAATATTAAAATACTCCAGTAATGGGAGTGCATTATTCAAGCATCTGTCAGGTAAGATCAAATGATAGAATTTTTATTTATGAAGAGATATTTAGAGGTCTCTTCCCCTGCTGCAACAGTCCTGTGAAGATTGATTTGCGACTGTTGTTTCTAAGGGTCTTAAAGCAATACCAGTGCTGAATAATTAGGAATAATGCATTGAAACAATTGGAAGATCCATTAGCAACGTTGACCTAGCTCAGAGAAATCTAAATGGGTAAACATCATGCTGGTTTGGTAACTCTGTAACTCGTTGGCTGGCTGTGTGTGCTGGTGGTGTGAAGCTCTGTTCTGGTAGTTCCTGTGTGACTGGTGAATCAGAAGGGGATCCGTTGGGATATTTTCCGTTGGGATTTTTTACTGGTCATTTTCCTTTACTTCATTACTGATCTGCCTTTCATTTCCCGAAAGACTTGCTATTAAAAAAATAAAATTCTGCTGAAGTTTCTTTCTGCGTCTTACAGAGAATTCCAGCCCGAGCTGGAACAAATCTGTGAGCGGAGCCGCAGGGGTTATCGACTCTCCTGGACCCGAATGAACCCTGCAGTGCCCAGATTGCTCTGATAGCCAGAAGTGAATCCAGCTCAGCACTGAACAGGGAATAGCTGGAGCTCATAGAACTTGTGAAATGCTGGGGGAATATTCTTCAGCTTTGTTTTGCTCTTCAGAAGATGAAGGGCTGTGTTTTCTGACAGAAAAAGCGAGATGCTGCCAGGAGTTATCCAGCTGATGTCTGGGGGCATGGCTGGGAATGTGAAACTCAGACTCCAGGCTGCCTGTGAAAAGTCCATTCTTATCTGTTGAGAGATTATTTCCCCCCCCTTTTCCTCTGTGGCTGTTTTCAAGAGCACTCAAACGTGGTTTGTTGTTGCTTGCCTGGTTTTGCTGGACTGCTTTTTCTACCTGGGTTGTTGTTGTCTTGAGTGTTAACATGAATATTTTATTCTTTACTGTTAGAGGAATCTAAGCCATCAAGTACATAAATACTTAGAAAAGTCCTGTAGTGAGATTTTGGGTTTCAATTTGTGTTCACAGATGAGACTTTAACTCCCTTTTATTCTCTCACATGCAATCACTGTACTCCTCTAATAGTGAACGAGGCTGACATAGGAAAAACTTGTATTATATTGAAATGATGCCTTTTAGAGACTGGAGCAGATTCCTTAAGAGATTTCTGAAGGTATTTAGTTACACTTTTTATTGCATTTTCTCTGCACAGAACCTGGACACAAAAGAGGGTGGAAAAAAGTCTCACGGTCGATCATTAATGGGCAACTTCGGTAAACACAAGGTGAGTAAAGTGAGAGGCTCTGTGTGCTGTGCTGGGCCTGGGGCATTCCAGAGAGCCTGGGAATGTTTTACTGTTTGAGAAGAGGTGGGTCTGGGGGCAGTAAGGGAAGCCTGTGTGATTACACTTGGGGTCTTCACCGCTGTTCAGGGGAATATGAACTGCCAGCAGGATGGAGAACCTTTAAAAGGAATAAAAAGAATCTCGTGTGACTAAAAGATCATCTTTACTAGTGAGGTGGAGTTGCTGATTTTCTGATTGAACTTGCAGCAGCAGAAGAGCAACACAGACGAATGTCTTGGCATATTCTTGTTTTCCACACAGCTGACAATACCTGGCTCACTCAGGGCCCAGCTTTGCCGGGCCCAGCTTTGCCCGTCCCACCCTGGGCAGTGCCACCCAGGATGTGCTGGGACTGTCTGTGCCTGCTCAGGGGGCTGCTGTGACCAAGTGCTGCCTCTGGGCTCCTGCTCTGCACAAATGTGTCTTTGCTGATCTCCTCCTGGTTTTGCTTATCCCATTTGTGTTTGTGGAGCTGCCAGCTCACACTCCCTGCTCCACTGCCCTTCGCTGGGGCAAGAGCTGGTGGAGTCCAGACGAGTGGGAGGTCTCATTTTGCAGCTGGGCAGAGCAGCCATCAAAAGGGACAGTGCTCCCATGTGTCCTCCCATTCCCATGTCCTGTCATCCACCTCCCCTATTCCCACACTCCCACAGTGCCTCAAGGCCTGGATTTATATCCTCAATGTGAGCCGATCCAGCTGAAAGCTTCCTTCCTCCTGGAGTCAGTCAGCAGATAGAAAGTCAGTAAATGAGCAGAGGGGCATGTGGCAGGTCTGCAGCCCCCTCTGCCCCCAGCTTGCCAGATGCTGGTGTTCCTGGTCCCTGCCATCCATGGTGAGAGCTGCACCAAGCAGGGAACACGCTCTGGGACTGAGAATCTGAGCAGTGGTTTAGGAAAAACAGCAATTAAGAAATGTTTCATAGAACTTAATCAACCACCAGTCTGTCTGCCCTGAAGGCAGCTAGGAGCCATCAAAAAATCCCTAAGCAGGCAGTCTCAGGGCTCATATTTACCCTGCAGTTCCAAGCTCTCATCAGTTTAAGGTGCTCAGATGCCCTTCAGCACCTTTGGCTCAGTGCACGTTACTCAGGGGGTGTGGAGGTCTGGAAGTACCTGTTGTGCCTGATAGTGGACACTTCACATCACCCCCTGTGCTCCCTGCTGGCCAGACAAGTGTGTGGAATGGGATGTCACAGGCAAAAGTCAGCCACTGAAATCTGCTGGTTATGCTGAGGGCTGGAAAGTATGTCAATAATTTAATTACTTCAGCTAGTTATCCTAATGGATACAGCATGGTGGAAAGCCCATTCATTTCATCTCTGCTGAAAGAATAAGGATAGATATAGATTTTTTTTTTAAAGTAGTGATTGTATTGTAGACTGAGGCAACAAGGACCTCCAGTGCCTTTCCAGCTGAAGGGGAAGACAGGTTCCCATCGATATTTTTGCAGATACAGAATTATCCACCCAGCAATATTGACATGTCGTGTTTTCAGGCAGCTCTTGTGCCGAGTGGATAAACTCTTTAAATTACCAGTGGAGGGACAAAGACACTAAAGCTGGAAATTTGTGAAAGTTAACTGCAGGGAACACCCTCAGTGCAGGCCTTCGGATTCCAAAACTGAACCATGCAAATGATTTCCAATATAATCAACTTTATGTCAGCACTAAACACAGCAGACTAAATTATATTCAGTATTGGGGTATCACAACAGGAGGAAAGAAATCTGTGCTCAGTGAGCCATATGAGTAAAAGGATAAGGAACTCTCAGTTATATTGTTAATTACCTCATGATGAAAAGGGAATTAAATTACTCTCACAAGAAGCTGTGGTTACTGTTACCAGAACTATAACGTTGTTGAAATTGGAAACTATTAAATCCTAGGTGCTTATGAAAAAAATGGCGATTTTTAGGTTTTAATCTTTTTATCAAAGCTGTTTTCTTTACTGCACAACTGTAACAATATAGAATAACTTCAGTGTTTGTATGTGGCTGAAAAGGGAGCGGAAAGATGATGTTTGAAAATTCTGCCCCGTCCATTAGGATTGCAGCAGGAGCAGTGCCCAGGGTCCTGGAGCAGGGGAGCACCCTTGTGCTGGTGCCAGGAGGGAGTGGGGAGGGAGCTGCAGAGCACACAGTGGGTTGGGACAGGCTGAGCACTGGCACAAATAATTTCCTTAGGCCTGGCTCTGCTCACCAGCAGCTAAACCTGCTCCACGGCTGCAGGGCTGGATCCTGGCTGTGGGAGGGAGGGAGATCGGGGCACGGGTGCTCTGTGCTGGCTTTCCTTCATGGAACCCTTGGAGTAGCAGCAGGGCTTCTGCTGTCAGAGCCCCTGGGTCACTCGGTGTCCGGGCAGGACACTGGTCCTGAGCTGCAGCCCTGCAGCTCCCCCACCTCCCTGAGCTCAACCACAGCAATGAGGATTTCTGGAGCCACCCCAGGGACTGACCCAGCCCTGCTTGACTCTTCCCCACAGAAAGCTGCCAAGGCAGCAGCCAAACACCCCAGTGCATCAGATGAGGACGAGAGCCAGCAGAACCCTCCTGGGAGGGAACCAGGGCATCCCCACAGGTGAGCTGGGAATCCCCACAGTTGTGCAGCTCAGGTGAAGCCAGAGGCTTGTTCGCTGCCATCCCCAATTCCATGGCATTGCCTCGGGGAAGTCTGTGCCCGAGAGCACACGTATGACACATGTGTCATGTATGACACAGCTGGGGGGTGTTTTGCTGTACCTGGTGTTTTGATTGCATTGGTTGTCACAGATTGCAAACAGCAATTACCCTTAAAGTGAAGTGTGGCTGCATCACTGTGCTGATGGAAAGGTGCCAAGCCCCATTTTGCCTGCTGTGAACAGTGCTCAGAGCAAACGGTGCACGTTCAGTTGGGTGCATCCCAGCCTGGGCAACTGCACTGCATGGGAGAGTGTAAAGGAAAAGCAATCACAACAGTGCCACTGAGAATGCATTTGCTGTCACAGAAATGCTCCTTGGTTTTGTCTGGGAGAGCCATGGTGCAGCTATTTCATGATGTTTTAAATGAAAATTTTATCTGTGTAGTGAGACTGTGGAGGTGCAGGGGAACATCATCCCAGAGCCCTCTCTGAGGAGGTTTGCTGCACACAGCTCCCTGCTCACACTTGGTTGTTTCCTTACTGATGAAAAGAACAGAAAGGGAGATAGAAGAGAACAGAAAGGGGGATTGAAATATGCCTTAAATACTGAAATCTGCTGTTTTCCTGTACGTGCTCCCCTCAGACTGGCCCGCCGGAGGAAGACGGTGAAGCTGTGCCGGGCTCTGTCCGACCTCGTGGTTTACACCAACTCTGTGGCTGCCCAGGACATCGTGGATGATGGTACAGGGGCTGGCACGGGGCCTGCACAGGCCTTGGTCACCTGGGAGAGGGAAAGGGCTGAGTGCTGCTGTAAGTGGGTCACAGGGACTAGAGCAGAACCAGAGCCCAGCTGGGCACTCCTTCCCCAGCAGTGAATCCTTTGGTCACACTGCCAGCAGTCGATTTCTCTGTAGATTCTCCAGAGTGGTCATGTCTGGAGTTCTGCAGGAGAAAAGGCCCCAACAATCAGCTGAAGCTCTTGCTTGGTTTGGCTTTCAAGTGTGAAAACTTGAGGGTAGAACATAAGACCCTTCTGGAAGGGGAAGCTGGTGCCCTTCAGTTACACAAGGTGCATGATTTGGACAGGACAGGACAATCTATCCTTGTAACTCTGGAGTAAACCTCACGTTTCCCTGGATTAACACCAGTGTAGTGAGGTCTGTGCTCAGCCCCACATGGGATTGCTGTGTCACCTGTTTGTTGTCTGACCGTGACACAGGGTCCACAGGGAACGTGCTGTCATTCAGTGAGACCAGAGCCCACCAGGCCGTGCAGCAGAAGGCTGAGCAGTTCATGCTTTACAACCAGAAGCAGCTGAGCAGGGTCTATCCCTCAGCCTACAGGATCGACTCCAGCAACTTCAACCCCGTCCCTTACTGGAACGTTGGGTGCCAGCTGGGTACGTGTGCCAGGGAAACCTTGCTTCCCATTTCTTGTGCATGTGCTGAGGAATATTATCCTGATCAATGACACCTGACTTTTCTCCTTCAGTGGCCCTGAACTACCAGTCTGAGGGACGTGTGATGCAGTTAAATGAAGCAAAATTCAGGGTAAATGGCAACTGTGGTTATGTCCTCAAACCTCAGCAGATGTGCAAAGGTAATGTCCTGCTGTATATTTATTACTCTAACTGTCAGGCCTTTCACAGAGTGTCCTTCACAGTGATGTTTGGAAGGCATAAGAAAGGAAAGTAAAACCAAAAATAGAATCTTTCATGTTTCCATGCATTCATAGAAGAGAGTTTCAAAATTAATGGCAGCTGCCCCATACTCTGTTTGTTACTTCTGACTGAACTCTGGCTCTGTATGTGCATCTTGGGGTGATACTTATTCTGTGGATCTCCTTCCTTACCCTTCTCATTCTTCCCATCTTTTAGGCACATTCAACCCCTACTCTGCTGATCCACTTCCTGCCAGTCCTAAAAAGCAGCTTATTCTGAAAATCATCAGTGGACAGCAGCTCCCCAAGCCTCCTGACTCGATGTTAGGGGACCGAGGAGAGGTGAGAGACTGATCCTGACAGCTCCACGAGAGCTCCTGCAGTGACAGGGCAGCACATGGCCCAAAAACTTTCTCCTTATTTAAATACACCTGTAAATTTCAGATATTGTCAAGCTTTTGGTCACTAGATACTACTAGATACTGTATCCTACATATGTTGCTTAAGAACCAGTTTTTTTGTATTAAGGGTGACTTTACTGGTCTGCAAATCAGTCATAGATGGCCATAGCTCTGGAGGCTACAAACCATACATCAGCTTGGACTTCATGAAACCATTTCTCATGATAGTGCTGCCAGAAAATTCGTGTCAATCGAAGAGTTTTGAATTCTCATGTGAATTTAAATCAACTCTTTGCATGAATTTGTTAAAAGTTGACCTTCACCTGTATCATTAGCTTGCTTTTAAAATATTTTGTTTTTAACAAATAGATAATAGATCCCTTTGTTGAGGTGGAAATCATTGGGTTACCTGTTGACTGCTGTAAAGATCAGACCAGGGTGGTGGACGACAATGGTAAGATAATCTAAGTGATTTCTTCTTCTTAGAGTAAAACATAAAGTAATTATAAATGATACAGAGTCTGTCATTACTTTCTAAATGACAAAGCTTCTTATCTGGGGAAATCAAATGATTATGTTTTAACAAATTAATTCTGCTTTATAGATAGAATTTCTGGTGTGGGGAGACAGCCAAGCTAGAGCTGAAGGGAAGGGCTCTTCACCTCATTGTCTTTCTCCTGGATTGTTCTTAAATCTCCTCTATGCAGAAGTTCAAATATCTATCTATACATCTCAGTTCTGCAGGACAACACCTTGCTGTGGTATCCCTGCCAGTTGCTCAGGCAGAACCATTTTGTTTTTAAAGCAGTCCAAGAGACAAATCTCACATTTAATGACTGACATGATGGAGATCAAGAGTGCCCAGATCTAGATGAGCAAAGAGTAATTTGTGTTGCAGCTTCTTTCCTCTTGCTATTCATCGTGAAAATTGAGGATAGCACTTGCTCTGGACTGGTTTCCCAAACTCTGTGTGCTGTTTGTTTCACAGGGTTCAATCCTGTGTGGGAGGAAACTCTCACCTTTACCATCCACATGCCCGAAATAGCCTTGGTGCGATTCCTCGTCTGGGACCACGATCCCATCGGGAGGGACTTTGTGGGGCAGAGAACTGTGGCCTTCAGCAGCCTCGTGCCTGGTGAGTCCCACTGCTTCTCCCTGAGCTGGGAATCCAGCTGAGGAACAAACAGCTTGGATCTAAAGATGGGGTTACCAGCATGAGGTGATATATGCTCATATCTCTGTGAATTCTTGGACAACTCTCCTGTTATCTTGGGGTGGGTTATTCACCAACACTTGAAGGAGTTTGGTCATCTGTGCTTTTGGAAACTACTACTGTTGTCTTTTATAACTTTGATGCAATTTGTACTGGGGTTTTGGAGAAGCCTGTGGGAACATAAGGAGTTTACTGAAGGTGGCTTACGGTACATACATCCCTTCTACAGACAGGCATTGCCAGGTGTGCACAGAATGCAAACTGCTGGTTCTTTGGGGTTATTTGTGTGCAAACATTTCTGTTTCTGTTTCACCAGGCTATCGCCACGTGTATTTAGAAGGACTGACAGAAGCATCCATATTTGTTCATATAATCATTAATGAGACCTATGGAAAGGTGGGTATAGCTGGAAATGTACATCTTCCCTCTGCTAAAAATGGTTTTAAATACAGCACAGAACCTCACGGGATCTGTGTTGGAGGGCTCAGGAGGCAGAAGGATGAGGCTCAGAGTGGTGGGGGATCCTTGCAGGAGATCATCAGGGAGCCCACAACATACCATTGCTCTACTCTTAGTGCTCACATACTTAGATGTTCTTGCTGTCAGCACCTACTAATTAGCATGTCTGCATACAGGAAGCACATTTCTTCAGTGTGTTGAAATGATTTTGTTTTAGAAGTAAATCTTGAGAACTGTAATTGCACCAGAACATGGTCTTTGACAAGCTATTTTTAGCAGCCAATTTAATTAATTTAAATTAACCTAATTTAATTTTAGGTTTCAGTGCATACATTTTGCTTTTCTGCTAATTTTGAACCATTTTTAAAATGAAAGTAAAAGCACTGTGCTTTTTGCCTGCATTTTGCTTCTGCTGCCTTTCTGAGCTGTTTACAGGCAGTCATTGGAGATAAACAGCACAAAGGAACTATGGCTACGTTCAGCAGGGTGCTGAAGTAAAACAGCACTTTTACAGTGATTTAGGAAGCAAAGATAAACAGGAAAAAAAGCACAACCAAAAACCTGACCTTTATGAAGGGTGTATGTTGCAGAGATTGGCCCTCAGTCTTTGTCCCTTCTGAGAGAGGATGCAACGAATGTCATGACAAACATGTTGTGCAGCACCCAAGGAAAGCTCAGAGGAACAGAGATTAAAAAAAATACCATAGAGAAAGACCCAGGGCTGAGATTTGGTGTATTCCAGATCCTCACTGAAATCCATACCTTTATCCTCCCTGATCCCATTAGACCAGTGAAGGGGGATCACAGCTTGGATACATCTGCAGTGTATACCCAGATGTGTGCACGTCTGGGGGCATCTGTGAAACCACATCCAGCTCTGGTGATGGTTTGCAGGAGTGTTTGGCTGCTGCTCTTGGCTGATGTGCTCTTCAAAGGAGAAATATGTTCAATAAAACCAGTAGAGAGCAGCTGCAGAGGGAAGGCAAGAGAAGGAGGGGGGAGACCCACTGGGATTTGATCTCTATAACTTAGTCTGCTCATCTAGTGTTTGCCTGGGTGATGGGCAATGATATTATTGTTTCTAGTAGGCTGAATGCATGTTTGCATCCATGTGAGTGAGGAGATCTGGCCAAGTTTCTGGGAGACACTTACATTAGACTAATAAATAGTTTTTTAAATGCTTTGCTGTGTATTAACCTTATTTGCTTGTGTAGCAATCTTGAGAACATGAGCCAAATGGATTTGCATTTTTTTTTGCCTTTCAGTGGAGCCCTTTAATCCTCAACCCCAGTTACACAATATTGCACTTTCTAGGAGCTACCAAGGTAGAGCTCACGAGCATGTCCTTTGCACTTTGGGCACAGCTTTTCAGTGCTTCCCAGTCGCATGATCTGCAGCTGCCAAACTTGCATCATTCTCCATCCAGGCTCTGAGACATCTGGATATTGCTTTGGCGAAGGCCATGCCTAGAAAACTCCCCGTTAGTGTGCAGCCTGTCACTGCAGACACTTCTCACAGCCTTGGAGCAAACCTCTGCTCTGACTGTGGCAGGCTGCCATCCTAATGAGGAGAAACACAGACATGCATGAATCTGTGGAGACCTGAGCTGAGAGCTCCTCGCTCAGAGTGGTTGTGAGTGGCTTGGTGTGGATTTTTGCTTTGCTGAGTTCTGATCTTTGTCTCCATCGCTCACAAACGCTCTGGAAGCAGCTCTTTCCCTCGTACTCATTCTAACTGAGTCTAAGCTCAGCCCAAACCGTGGCTCTCCTTGTCCTTTCAGAGCAAGCAGCTGATAGGGCTGCGGGGGCTGTTCAACAAGAACCCCAAGCAGGGCTGTGCCGAGGCCGGCGGGAACTACGTGCGCAAGAGATCCCTGGGCGAGCGGCTGCTGCGGCGCACGGCCAGCGCGCCCGCCAAGGGCAGGAAGAAGAGCAAGATGGGCTTCCTGGAGGCTGCTGAGATGAAGGACAGTGCATCTGAACCCACAGACCTGAAGGACAAGGAAGGGGTCGTTCGGCGCCCGAAGCGGAGTCTGCAGGCGCGTCCTGCTTCCATGCCCGTGGACAAGTACCTGCTGGTGGGACTGCCCTGCCCGCCTGAGGACGCTGCCCAGGATGCCACGGGGAAGGAAAACACCTCTGGTAAGATGCTTCCAAAAGTACTTCTGATATAGTGAGTTGAAATAGCCTGTTGAAAAGATTAGCCTCTGTGTGAGTAGTTTTATTCAGCTCAAACCAGAGTTACTGCACAGAGTTACGTGGGCTGAAGCTGGTAGGATTTTATCAGCTCCTTAAATAAGTGGTACCCGGGAAAGCTGTCTGCTCTGCAAACTGGGCAGATGAATTACAGTAATTCCTGGAAGTGCTCTTATAAGGACACTTGCCAAATTTCTGTGTAATTTAAGAACCAACCTTCCATTGCACTTTATCAGTTCCTGGTTTCCTGCTCTCCATTTACTTGTGGAGACAGAGCTGCTGGCGGGGGGGGTTCCTCTCCCTGTTTTTCAGGAGGAAGAGCTGCATGCAACGTATGTTTTTGGTGATAGTGTCCCTAAAGACTTTCAAACAGATGTAAAAGGGGTAAAAGTAGGTTAAACTTTGTATCCAACAGACTTGATATTTGGCTCTTACCCTAGGTCACTGACTGATCAATTTATATGGCCAGCATGTGTTAGGATAAAATCTGGGTCTTATGTAATTGATACACAATACAATTTCACTCTGAAAATAGCTGTAAAACACAGTTTTCTCAGTGTGTTCAGCAGTAATAGTCTGGTTTGAAATCCAGGATAGACCCTGGTTTTGAAATCCAGTTATTCCCATGACTGCAGCAAAGTTAGTGTGTTGGACCTGCCTAATATTTGATTTGCTGGAAAACTTAAACAGTCTAGGGAGCTTTGAGTACAATGGCTTTGATTCATTAGACCTGCTGTCTCCACCCTGAGCTGGTCCCTCGTCTGGGGTGTCAGTGTTGCTTTTTGGGGCTGGTTTTGGTTTATTTGGGAAGAGCATGTGCACTTCCGGAGGCTGTCCCCAGATCCTCAGATGTGGGCTGGCCCCAGCTTTGAGGGATAGTCCCAGGGGATAGGTGGAGCAGCACAGCCAGCACCACCGTCTCTCTGCCCTGGTGAGAGGCAGAGAGCACCCTGAGAGCCTCTCTTGGCCAGGGGGTGACAGAAATGCTGCTCTGCTCCAAATCATTTCAGCTGCAAAGCAGCCACTTCCAGCAACTGCAGGAGCCACTGCAATATAACTACCTGGCACTGACAGGACATGGTGATCAGCCACCTTTGTGCTGCTGGCCCCACATTAGTGGCTTTGAAGGAGCAGCTAATCTGCACAGCACTTGTAAAAGAAGCTCCTCAGGAGGAACAGTGAGCAAAGTCAACCCAGGGCTTTCTCTACCACCGTGAGAAGAAACTGTAGGCAGGAAAAAGGATGTTCTAGTACAGGCAGATAACTCTGAAATGCTGTGGTTTAAATTGAAAGATCCTCTAGGTAAGCCTGTGAAGATGATACAGCTCAGCCATTCCTTGCAACAGATGCAATAATTTCTTAGGCATCTCTTCCTAAAGGTGCTCCAGACAAAGACACAAGAAACACTAGAAACCTGTCACAGGGGATGAATCCTGCCCCTTCTAACTGTGAGAGAGATGGATCCTGACCTTTAGAGTCTGCAAAAGGCTCGCTCCTTAACCCTGTTGAAGAGGCTGTCTCACAGAGACCTGTCCTACTAAAATGCTGTGGCTGAGCATATCTCTACTGCTCCACTGAAATTGTGCCAAGAGGACAGTGTGCTATCCATTTTGTCCTACATTCTTTGTAGAAAAAGTAAATCTACAAATCAAAGAAATGTGCATCTCTTCAATCCTAGTCTGGGAGCACTGGAAAGCTTGGGAAGTTTTCAGATTTTGGAGATGGGCATTTAATGCCATGTTCACTAGAAGTAGTTCCTACTCCATTGAGGGGGCTCAGTCACTGTCAGTGGATGATTCTTCCCTTGCTGCTTCCAAGGGTACCTGATGTCTAGCAAACATTAAACCCAGCATATACTAAACCAAGCTTACTCCTATAGTCCCTGCTTAATTAAATCTCCAGAGCAGTGAGTCATGGAGCTCAGATTTGGCACATAAAGACGAGTAAGAGGATTTGGTGGAGAAAACATCTAATGTGTGTTTTTTAAGGAATTCAACCCCTTGCTCTTGTGAATGCAGCATGCTGGTGGAATATCAAAATGAAATCCTTAAACTGTAACACTTTGCAATAACCACATGCCTGGAGTCCATCTACTTGATGCTTTTTACTCAGCTTGAAGCATGCATCTTGTTTCCAAGTGTTGTGTGTTTTAACAGAGCTGTTTTGTTCTGTCTTTATTGCCACGCTTCTTTGTAGTACAAATCTGACTAGGAACACAGCTGAAGGTAATGCCACGTGCAAGCCATGCTATGGTACCTCATTAACATTACTTACAACGAATATTACATCACCTGCCTGATGTAATAGACATTCCAGGAAGTTTCAATGAAGTGCCTGCAGTTGTATTTTTCCATTTGTTCATATCACTCAGATAATTTGTACTAAACCTGCACAACTCCATGATTAAGTTCTGTCACAACTGTACCTAATTTTGCGTGCTCCATTTGTCTGTCTGAGGACAAAAGAGTTGTTGATAGACAGAACAGAGTCTTGTATGCAACTAATATGTTTCTTCTTTAATTTAGCCAACAGTGATGACAATACAAATGAGAAGGAAACAAACTTGAAAGAATCTGTTTTACCATGTTCGGAGCAAACGGCAAAAACTTCAAATTTGGGATCTCAATGCAAGAAGGAGAATGGCCAGAAGGATTCTACAGCTGACTCTTTGCTACCACCTCCTCAGGAGCAACCTGAACACTTAGTTTTTGCAAGTGGTGTAACTGAAACAAATCACCTCTTGGACTGTCAGGAAAATAATCTTTCTGGTGAAACTGTCCCACCAATGCAGGACTCTGAGCTTTGCACGGGAAAACCACAAGACAAAAACTGTGTGGACAATAAAGAGGAAGATGACACAAAGGGATCTGACGAGGGGAAAGTCACTCTGGTGGGGGCTTCTTTTTCTCAAAAAGCAGATACGGAGAATCACAAATCCGACCTCAAGAAAAGCACTGCAGCACCTCTTTCTTTGACTGACATTCCTTCTCCCCCTGGCTCTGACAGCCCTGACTTGCACTCCACGCTGGCCCTGCAGGACAGTGACATTTCTCGCCTCATAGATGAGGTTTCTCTGGCTACTGAGAGCGAGCTGGACAGCGCTGTGTCTGCTCTCATCGGGCAGGTGGATGTCACAGGGGACCAAACACACCTCACCGCCGTCTCAAGCCACGGCAGCAGCAGCCAGACCTTCGGTGTGGTGGCTGCACACCCACAGGGCTTTACTGTGGGTCTAAGCAGCCCCTGTAAGCACAACTTCCCTCCCACAAAATCCACCAAATCCCCTTTATTCTCCACTCCGGATACCACCACGTTCTCCAGCCCAGAGACCGCAGAGTATTCCATGTACACAACTATCCAGGGGGCAACTCCAGCTTCTCAATGTAAGACCCACAGGCAATTAGTTTCCATGAAAAAATTAAATAGTCTAGAAAGTAACTTGCCTGGCTCTCCATGTTCTTCACCTCTTTCTTTGCTAAATGCAAATCCCGAAAGAAATTGTGGAACAAAATCTGGACTGAGCTGGGAAGGCCCTGAGTCTGCCGGTTCTTTTGCTTCCAATAACCTCATCTTCGAGGAGGCGCTGTTTGACCCTGTCCCTGGTGAGAACTCAGACAGCAGCAGCCTCGTGGAAGTCGATGGGGACTCCCAGGATCTCCTGGTAACTGCCTGCGAGTACAAGAGGGAGGACATGAGCCAGCTGGCTTCTCCTTTGAGACTGAGGCAGAAGCAGGACACTGGGCATGGTGGTGAGAGGACCTCTGGGACCTGCACAACTGTTGGACTCTGTGCTGCTGCCCACGCCTGCTCGGGCACCCTCAGGACTGCAGGGAGCCAGCTCCCTTTTCCCACGTGTGCAAATGCCGGGGGTTCGTGTGCCCATCGCTCCCATGAGCAGCCCAATGTAACGTGTGAGGGGTCCCAGCTCAGGGCAGCCCCCCCGCTGCTCCCGAGCGCTCTGCCTTTCCCCCCTCACCCGGCCATCCAGCAGAGCAGCCCCTGCAAGTCCAAGAGTCTGGGAGACCTGACATCGGAGGACATCTCCTGCAACTTCGAGAGTAAGTACCAGTACATCAGCAGGAGCTTCATCTCCTCGGGCATGCGGGACAAGAAGCTGGCTGCCATGAGGGGCCTGCGGCCGCGCTCGGCCGACGCCCTGACGGAGCAGCTGCGCAAGCTGCTGTGCCCGGAGCAGGAGGAGCCCCGGCACTGCCCCGGGCAGCCGGAGCACGACTGCCCCCGGGCCCTGGTCAGGAAACTGTCCTCTCGGAGCCAGAGCCGCGTGCGGAACATCGCCAGCCGTGCCCGGGGGAGGCAGGAGGCCGGCAGGCACAAACCCCCCGGCACGGGCGCCGTGGCCGGGGTGGTGCTGAGGAACAGGCCCTCGGCGTCCCCACACGTGGCCAACAGGCACTCCACGGGCTCCTACATCGCCAGGTACCTCGGCAGCTTCCCCGGGGAACCCGTGGAGGGCCGGGGCGTCCCCGAGGGCTCGTGCTCGGCCCTGCACCTCGGCTGCACAGACCGGTTCTACCAGCACGACTCCGTGGAGCCCAGCCCCGAGGACCAGCCCGAGATCTACTTCCTGCTCAGGCTGTAGGTTGGAGCCATGTGCATCCTCAGAGTTTACAAACTGCTTCACTGAAATGAAGGATTTGTAGCGAGAAACACTGTTTGGAGGGTTTAAATTATTTAGAGATGCAATTTCATGCTGGTGATTGGGCCACGATTTAACGTGCCCTTTCCTGTGGGAGCTGATGTAAATAGAACCACGTTCCATCCTGAGGGATGCGCTGCTTTGATCCCTGAGCGATGAGGTCTGGGGGCTGTGCGTGCAGGGAGTGTTTGTAGCATTCTGTGTCTGTGATGCTGACACCTGACACTGCAGCGAGTGCAATGGCATTGTGTCCCTCCTGTCCTGTCCTCCTGGCTGGAAAACACTTCTGGTGATCCCTTTTGGCCTTTTGTGCAGATCCTACGGAGCGCTGTGGTGTCAGGAGCGGGGCATGGCCTTGGGCTGGGTACAGGGCTGGGGCTCGGCCCTTCAGCAGCATCCCTCGTTCCTGCCTGCTGTTGTTGACTGTACATGTTTTCATGTATGGACTGTGATTGCACAGCAAATGATTTGTAGAACTAGGGTTTGTCCAAATCTGTGAGTCTTGTGGAGATTTGTCTTCTGCCTGCTCTGTGGAGTATGACAACAGTTGTCTTCCTCTTTGCTCACCGTGTTGAATGCTGGTTTTGGGACAGAGTGGAATGTGGAAGTAATTCTGCATTAATGAATGAAAACGCTTAATTTCTGCGTATTTTATGTATTTTTGCTGTTGGGTGTGTGTGTAGCTTTGGTGCAGCAGCCGATCCATTTCCTGTATATTTGTAATTTTATTGCTAAATTGTCGATGGTCAGGGGGATGTTTAAAGCTGACGTGGGAGAGGGACTATTTTGACTGCTCACCTTTTTCTGTGAAGGCTGAAAATGAATGAGGTGAAGGAATCTCAGACACCTGAAGCTTCCCTGTAGGGAACAACATAGCTTTATTTTGGTTTGAAGATATTCTTTGCCTTTGCTGTAAGTTTTTCTGATATGTAAAAGATGTACCTTTTACCTCTTTCTTTTGTAATGCAGAGTATTATTATTCTTGAAAACGTCATTAAAATAGATTTTTAAGCACTTGTTTACATGTTTTCGGAAGCTGTAGCAAGAAGATTTATGCTTGAACTAGCAGTAGTTAGTGACTGCAGACATCTGTCTGGGCAGGAACTTGCAGTAGGATTTCAGAAAGGGAAGAATTCAGTTATTTCACGTGACGGTTCTTAGCTGGAGATTGACAGCTGAGCTCTCACCTCCTTTCTGGATCAGAAGCCTCATCTGAGCAGGTCTGACTGTTCCATTCAGGGTCTCACACAGGCTGTTTTATCACCTGGGAGAGAGCAGTGGATCTTCTTAAATAACAAGCATTTTTCCATGGAGGAACAGAACCAGATACTTGATGAAGCCCTTAAACTTTGAACCTGCATTTCTCCCTCAGTACCTGTGGTGCAGTTTGGAAGGTGTGACTGAAGCCTTGGAGAAGTGCCTTGTAAATAAACAAAGGATAAGATTTCCATCACAGGAGATGAAAAAACTTGAAGGTCGTTACTAGTTTTAATTGGAATTAATTTAGAAACGTTGTATGGTGCTTGCAGGAGGTCAGAATAGATTAGTGTGGTGGTGTTTTATCACTTAATCTCTTACAGTGTCCCCTTAATTCCGGAAGTTACTCCAGATGGGGACAGTTCTTTGTGTGACAGTGGAATTTGGCTGATGAACCAGGGCAGGTTTCTGTAGTGCAGCCTCAAGCCAAAGGCAGGTCAGGCTCAGTGGTTTTTCCTGCCTCACTGGACTTAGCTGGATTTTTTTTTTTATCCCTGTCTCACTGAAATTCAGACTCCATTTGGTTTGCACATGATTGTTTTGGTGGTGTAGCATTGGGATGTGCCAAGACCTTCTCCCCTGTGGGAGCTCTGAGCCCGGAGGAACTCGAGTCAGAGGATTCAGGGTGTTCAAAGGTCTTGTGGTGACCCCTCACAGGTGAGAAGGCAGAGGGTGCTGGTGTCAGGTGCCACTGATCTCCTGAGGGCACTCTGGGGGCCTGGACTTGGAGAACTGGTGAGGAAGACACTTTTTGTATCTGCAAAGGTGGTGATACAACAGAAGTTTTCAGTCTGCAGAACTTGAATTTCAATATGTGTTTAGTAATGAATTTGGGCCTTAAATATGTGTCTTAACACCTGAGGAATGCAGGAGATCCCAGGTGTGGTGGACAGGAGCACAGAAATCCCTGTCTGAGCAGCCCTCTGCATAGGGCAGCTGGGGGAGGACAGGGGTGTTCTGAAGACTGGAAGCAAACGTGGTGTATGGAATGTTTGAACTGGAGAGGGGTCCAAGCCCCAGTCAGAGACATTGTCTCTTGCTTCTCTATCCACAGTTAGAAAAGAACAAAGATTAGCTGTAAACATCAAGCACTAAAAACTCAATGGTATTATTTTGTACCTATAATAGATAGGGATTAAATTTAGTATTTTCTATTAAAGCAAGTGCCCCAGGTCTCTACACGATAATCATCTGACCATCTCCCTCTTGATTTGCTAGAAATGGAGAGCACTGACCCTCTGAAAGGAAGAACCTGAGGCCCAGAGGAGCTGAGTCCGTACTGCCCTGGCAGAATAGGCAGGTGAAGGTTCATGGGGCTGTTCCTGTGCCTGCTGTTAAATATGTGCTTCAGGTCTTCACACAGTTAGGAACTGTTCAGGCAAAGATGCTTGAAACCTCAAAATTTCAGTTTCTTTTCCAGATGAGAGTCTGTATAAACAATAATTTAGCCGTTGCTCAAAACTCTCTGTATTGCTCTGAATCTGGAACTTACAAATAGTAGAAATGTAGGGCAAGGACAAAAGATGGAACAGAAAGTCAAAGACACCATTTATCTGGTCAACTTGTACTTTTCTGTGTGCTAAGGGGGAGGTTAAGATGAATTGGAGAATGGCAGATGTCACTCTCCAGTGAAGTTTCTTGGTGTAAACCCATTATTTTAAGAGAGATTTGCTGCATTCTGTACCAGGCTATATTTTCAATTCCAATGGATTTAATTGCTATTATCACTTATATCATATGTATCAATAGATATCAATATATCATGTTTCCTCAGTTTTTAGTTTAATGAACAAGCTTCATTTTCTTTCCTGGAGTGGAAGGGATATAAACAAGTCTACCTGCTGCCAATCCAGCTGCTCCAGTGGGGATGATCCTGCCATGAAGATGTCCTGGGATACCTGAAGCCCCTGCTGATCCTCCTGTACCCCCAGGTGATGTGCTGTTCCTGGTGAGTACTGGTGCCCCAGCCCAGAGCTGTGGGAGGGGGTTGTGCACTGGTGTGTGTCCCCTGGGTTTGTGCTGCAGGGATGAGTGTGGGCTCAGATCTCACCCAAGCTGAGATGCTCCATAAGCAGTGCTGGGCAGCAGTAGGAATGGGAGAGTTTGGGAAAGCTGGGAATGCCCCTTTCCCCAGCCTGGATCATAACCTGGGGGGACACTGGAGTCAGAAATGAAGCACTTTCTGAACTCGGTCCTTAAGCCCCCGTGAACATCTGGGCCACAGATCACCAGGAGCACTGCACAGAGCCAGGAGTTCCAGACACATGGGTGGAACAGACCAGCACTCTGCACTTCAGACATTTATAGGGCCATTTGTTTCTTAGTCCTTTCCCCAGATTAATTAAATTGTGTATGAACAAGGCTGCAGCTTGTTGAAAATCCATCTAGGATGGGTTTGGGGCTGTTTTGGTGCAGAGTCTGCACCACAGCAGAACAAGCAGTTATTTTTGCCTGGTAAAGGCTGGTGGCTCACAGCCTGGGTTAGCAGGCCTAGATTGCTTTGCTAATTTATGAAAGAAGGCATAAATTGAGCTGTTCAAGAATCTGCAGAGAAGAGGTAATAGCAGCAAAACTGAGATTGGAATATTATTTTAAAGAAATTGCATATTTTTTAATTCAAGAGCTGTAAGAGTCTCTGATTACCTTTATATGATTGCTTACTGGAATACCTGCTGCCCCTACTTTTAACAGTGATACCAACTACTCCTGGTGCTGGGGATCCATTCCACATTCCTCACTCCTGGCAGAGGAGCCCAGGTTCTGGTGCTTTGCTCAGAGGGCTTCCTTTGTGAGCTTCCCATTCTCTTCTTAAATGAGATGAGGTTATAAAAGAAAAGAACGTTTCATGAAAGAACAGCCCAGAGTTCCCTCCCAAGCATGTTGGGTTGGTTTTGTTCTTGGACTGATACTCGTTTGGATTTGTTTTGATAAGATTTTGATGCTGCTTCTGAGACAGAAAGAAATGAAAATGAGCAGAGCCTGGCTGGCCTGGTTGAGGTGGAATTTTGTGTGTGTAGAAAGCCAGGGCAGTGGAAATGTCATCTTTAGTGTGTGAATTTAGTCTCTGGAGGGCTTGTACCTGAGGAGCTCCACAAGCCTCTCTGCAGGTGAGTCCCACAGATCCCCTGCCTGCCCCTGTACTTTGGTTCCGTGTGTGTGTGTGCAGTGAAGACACAGGGAAAAGGAATGGTGAAAAGGGAGCTGGAGACTCTGAATGGCCTGAATTTCCTCTGGCTGCATGGCTGAGCACTTGCAAATAAACAGAAATCCCATTTTTCCTGGTGTGTGCATTTAAAAGCAACGTGAGCTTCCACTTCAGACTCTATGACAATAGTTCCTTCATGTTCAAACCAGGGAGGTCTTTTCCAAACTGAGGGATTCCATGATCTAATCCCAACATGCAGGGAACAAGCCATGTACAAAATGACACCAAGGGTGGGAACTCTGGTGTCCAACAGCCCAAAACTTTGGGTCTGGTTCAGCACAGGGGTCTGGGGACACCTCTGTACCCAGGGAAGAGGGGTGTGACATCCTTGAGGTTGTGCCACCAGGGGCACCTTGCTGGTCTCACTCACGAGAGAGCAGAAGGTGTCAGGAGAAACCCCCCAAGATGGATAAAACATTCCTGCAGTGGGGCTGGGGTTTGTTGGATAAAACATTCCTGCAGTGGGGCTGGGGTTTGTTGGATAAAACATTCCTGCAGTGGGGCTGGGGTTTGTTGTTTCCCCGTTAGGAGCAGTCCTGGGGACAGAGCCCTGCATTAGATCCACTCCACAGCTTTTGTGTGACAGTGATTCCCCTGGAGCTCTGTTGTTCCCAGTCCATGTGATGTTCTGTAATGGCATTAGATGGATGGTTAATTAAGGTACATCTGGATATAGACAAATTTGTCAGTGGAGACAGACAGTATTTGTGTGATCCCATTTTAAGGAGTTATAGTCTTAAGGAAGCACATTCTTAAGGGAGACAGATGTCTGGAAGCAGATGATTAATTCATGCTTAGTTTCCAAGCACTCATTTAACTTACAGGCTTTTTAAAGTGGATTCTTTAATTTAGTGCTTCACATCATAAACATTTATAGTCAAAATCTTAATTCAGTTAAAGATATATTTGTCTAAAGTGATACTTGTAAATTCATTGAAGTTCTGCAAATGAACACTGCTGAGAGAACAGAATCTAAGAGTTGCAGAGTGCTGCAAGTTGCATTAGTTTGACTTTGTTATTGCCAGCACTACTAGTATTTTTTCAGTAAAATGAAAATTTAGTTTCATCTGAGTGGATCCTCTTGCAGTGCAGAGTTCAGCAGAAGGAGGGAACACAACTGAGTGCCAAATTTGGGTTAAGTTCGTGCAGATTTCGGGTGTAACTAGTGAAGTCCATGGAGTTTCTTTAGATGTGTGCTGGGGTGGGGTCTGTTTCTTGTCTGCTTGCCCAGAGTTGGTCCATCTAAAGCTGTTCCAAAGGCACCAGAGGTAGAAGTTTGATTTAAAATGTGTTTCAGGTTTCATGTACTTTTCTGTATCTGATTTCCAAACAGAGGTGATGCCAAATAGGAAGGTGGTCATTAATATTTTTGTATTTATTTTGTCTTGGGAGTAAGATGTTAAATATTTAGAATATGCCTGACTTTCTTAAGGTGAGGGTGCATGTGCTGCTTGAATTAATTTAAATAAATAGCAGTGGTATTTAACTGCACCCTCACCTTTCTCCTCTAGCTTGAGTGAGCCCCTCATTGTGCATATCATTTGCATAAAATTAGCCTTTTGCATTAATCAGCTGCAAGGCTGAAGCACTTCTGTGAGCAAAGGCTGGGAGAGCTGGGATTGTTCAGCCTGAAGAAGAGAAGTTTCGGGTGATGGAATTGTGGCCTTGCAGTGCCTGAAGGGGCTACAGGAAAGATGGAGTGACAGGACAAGGGGGAATGGCTTCAAACTGCCAGAGAACAGGGTTAGATGGGATATTGGGAAGGAATTCCTGGCTGGGAGGGTGGGGAGGCCCTGGCACAGGTTGCCCAGAGAAGCTGTGGCTGCCCCATCCCTGGAAGTGTCCAAGGCCAGGTTGGACAGGGCTTGGAGCAACCTGGGACAGTGGAAGGTGTCCCTGCCCATGGCAGGGCTGGGACTGGATGGGCTTTGAGGTCCCTTCCAACCCAAACCATTCTGAGGTTCTGTGATGATTCTGATTCCTAATCCTGGAAGATCATCCTGAGGAGCTTCTGGGTTGATCTGTGGGTGGGCAGAGGTTGAGCCCACCTGGATGTGTGTTGGCTCCAGGCTCTGGCTGCCTGCATGGGGTGTGGAAGGTGACTGTTCTTAACTGGGTGCTCTCTAAAGCTAATTGAGAGTTCAAGCTGCTGCCTGGAGTTGTGGGAACACCAGAGCCATGAGGCTGTTCTTGCAGTGGGAACCTTCCCCATCCAAACAGTGTGAGACTTCACCTTTCCGTGTTTCCCTGAAGCCAGTGTGTGCTTTCATGAGATAAACCAAGATTTACTAATCAATATAGTTTTTAATTGGAAAGATAAATCCTCAGCAGCCTCCTTTGCCTCTGGTCTCCATGCTCAGTGTCCATGCCAGGCACTGAGCCAGCCCTGCAGCAGGAATGCTGCTGGATGTGACAGCAGGAGCCAAGGGAAAAGGGCTGATCCACACACGTCCAAAAGTTGGCTCTTTGGTTTCTTTGCTGAAAAGCCCTTTTTTTTACTCAAAAGACATGATTCTTTCACCAGTAATTCGGGTTCATCCATCCTTAGGCCAGGGGGAAGCAGGCCCTGCTCTGCTGTAGGTCTTTGCTGGGAATGGTGCAGAGGGATTGGGTCCAGAGCCAGATGAAATGTCTCCTCTGCCATGGGTTTGGCAGCACCTTCTGCTGCACGTGATAGAGGTGCCAAAGGCTCAGCAGGAGGAACTCGTACAGCAGCAGCTGAGTGCTGCTCTGAATGGGGGCTTGAAAAGGGGTAACTCTGAGCAGTTGGTTGGAGCTGTGTAAGAATATAAATTAGGCCAAAATTCTGAGTTGTTGGTCGTACACATCAAATGTATTTTCATTTGTTTTCAAGTGGCAGAACTGTGGGCAGTGATGGCAGTTCTGGGGAGCTGCTCCAGGGAAGCCTTGCCAGGCTCACTCAGGGCAGAGGCTGCTGTTGCTGAGTGGGTTTATGGTCATTTTGTATTGAAATGGTTTTAGAATTAGTCAAACCATTACTGATTGATTGATGGGGACCGAAACATGATCTCCAGTTTGGATTTTGCAGAGACCTCTGCTCTGCAGAAGGAACAGGAACATAACCCCTTTACCAGCTCCCGGTTTTTACCCCCCAGCAGAATCCAATGTAAACCTTCTGCTTTTGTTGAGGAGACCATTCAGTCAACTGTTCTCTTGCCCAGCAACTTTCCTTCAACCTCTTAGATATAACAGGATAAACAACAATGGAGTATTAATAGGGATATATATTTATCCCTTGAAGTTTCTCTAGTTTTTGTTAGTTTTTCCATACCACTCCTTCCAAGGAAGTTATTCCAACTACACCAGCAGTGATTTTTATGGCAAGTGGTCAGGTTAATTTGTCAATTTTTGATAAAAAGAAAATGTTTAAATTGATCCCTTCTTACAGGCTTTCCTTCCAGGGCATTTCCCAGCAGTGCTCTTCTGCCTCCTTCCTGTATCCCTCTGATGATCCCAGCTGGGGAGAACTTTTGATCTGTGCAGACCACAACAAATCTTGTTTGTGTTGGGCCAGAGAGACAAGATTTTCATCCCCTCCACACCAGAACAAACCCTGGCTGCTCTCAGACAGTCAATTATCTAAATTGAGTTCTCTCTTGTTATGAACAGATCTTCTATTCATCCTTCACTCTCAGCTTCAGATTTCTCCAAAACCCTTCCCCATGTGTGAGACGAGGTGATTTCTATGCATGGGCTGTGCATTGAGCAGATGGATCTGACAG